TCACTCCCTGCCTGACGGACTTCTCTCCAGGTCCCTGTGAAATCACACACCCCGGAAGTTCCTCCTTCCTCCTCCCCTGGCTCCTCATGTATTGCCTTTCCCCTTCCTTCTCTGCGTGACCTCTGAGTTTTGAAAACTTCAGCCCTGATGTCTTTTCACTTTTTTATCTGCACTCTTTCTCTGTATGTGATCTTACCCAGTCCTATCGTTTAGTTTATTGTTAACATTTTTTTTTAAAGATTTTTATTGGGGAATTGGGGGGATGGGAACAGTGCTGGGGAATTGGGGGAAGGGGAACAGACAAGTTGCTGTCGTTTTGTTCTTCAGTCTAGTTGTGGAGGATGTTGCTTCACTGGTCCAAGTTGTCACCATCATTGTGCTCTTCCTGGGCGAGGCAGTTCAGTCGCCGGCTTCTGGATGGCCGCTCACTGAGGCTGCTGGCCGCTCACACTGGCTGCTGACTATATACAGTAGCCCATGGCAACCCACTGCCACAGGGGCTGCAGCCTACGCCGTCGCCGTTGCCGGCGACTCATAACAGCCCAGCTCCAGGTTGAGCTGTTGTTCATCATCTTAGCTGTAGAGGGCAGTGTCACTGGCCCTCATATGTGGGATCCGAACTGGGGCCCTCTGGCGTCCCAAGCCAGCTCTTAACCATCGCGCCACTCGGCCGGCCCAAAAAAGAGTTCTCTTTTCATCCCTTATAAAGGTTTTGAAGATAGTGTTGATGTACTTGTTCTGTTATTTTTTACAGTTTAAATTAAAAGTGTTCATTTGAAGCAGATCTTTTAAGTGTGTGTGTGCACATGTGTTTTGAAGACTAGATTGAGAAAAGAGGACATAAGAGGCTACTGCTTTATTTGTGTTTCGTTATAAGGATTTCCTTCCATTTCTGTAAAACTAAAAATAAAATTTTAAAATTCTAATTCTAATTGTTAAATATGTAGGCTAGTTTCTAGAGGATTAAACAACCTGAATATCACTTGTATTTTCGATATAATCTTATTATATTTAAAGAGTATTAGTGTTATTTGAATTTTTTGTTAGCGTAGAGATTACTAGCTCTAATAATTAAACCAGCTGGGAACTGAAATTTATGTTTCTTATAAAGCTGGCAGGTCATATTAATATAGAAAATCTGATGGGGAGTATTATAGATAAGTAAATATAATATTTAGCTCTTCTCTTATTGGCTTTTGTCTTAATTAAAGGAAAGCAATGAGAATGATATCATGAGTTATACAGCCTTCCTCCTAAGGTGATTTCATTTCCAGTCAGTTTTACATCAGATATAATGCATGTATTATAGTTGACCTTTAAAATACAATTTTTCTTTTTCAAAAATTATTATTCATATCCCACTTCCTTCCTTCCAAAAGAGAATTATAATGGCCAAAGGGTAATATTTTTTAGCTCTATTGAGATATACTTGACATATAACATTGTGTAAATTTAAGGTGTACAGTGTGATGATTTGATTGTATTGCAAAAGGATCTCGATAATAAGGTTAACACATCCATCACCTCACATAATTCTTTATTTTTGTGGTAAGAATGTTAAGATTAACTCTTTTAGTAACTTTCAAGTATATAATACACTTGTTATTACAGTCACCATGCTGTACCATAGATTCCCAAAACTTACTTATCTTATAACTGGAAGTTTGTACTAAAGGGTAATATTTAATGTCTAACAATAGAGGACCCATTTAAATGAAGTTTGCATTGGAATAGTAGTAATCAGCCTTGAAGCATTATGCTGTAGAGAGAAGGATTTGATGATTTAAAGACATGAGAAAAATGTTCATGTGCGTGATATACAACACACTGAAATAAACTGGAAGAATATGCAATCAAATGTTAACTATATTAACTATGGTTTTATCATCTTTGGGTGATGAAATTCGGGGTGTGTTTAATTTGTGTGTGCCCACGTGCGTCTGCGCATGTGTTTTCCTTAGGTATCAACTACGAGGAAGACCTGATTTAAGAACATTTTGCGTTAAAAAAAAAAATTTGAATACTGAGTGTAAGCCAGCAGTGTGTTTTAGTTGCCAGCATAGATTTGCGTCTTAGGCTGCCTTAATAGGTGCACATGCGCAGATCAAAGAAGGAAGCGGTTCACTGGAATGGGCAGATGCTGCCTTCTCTTTCTCTCCTGTCTGCAGGCTGTGGATTTTTCTCTCTTTAAAAGTCCACCAGTAAAGTTCAGACTTCTCATTTCTTCTGTGTACCTTCCTTTTCGTCTTCTCCTTTGCTAAGTTGAGTACCAGGTGAAGTCCTGGCATCTTTTTTCTACCGTCCTTTTCTTTTCAAAGTACCTTTTGCTTAAAGGAGGCTACACTGTCTGGGGTGGGGGAGCTGGGAAAGGAAGGATGGTGAGACTGGGACACTTGGGGGGGGGTTAGCATAATCCAAGATGTATGATCTTGATAGGCTATTAATTAATTCTGTATAGTTGTTGATATTTGAATAGAGGAATTTGAATTCATGCATAAAGAACTATAATGGCACCTGAAAAGTTGGCTTACTTTGAAGTGCGCTAGGCGGGTTCTAAGCTAATATTAACTTGGGAATTATCTAAAAGTAACTATGAGTCTCAGATCTCCATTCAAGGTAAGTAAAAGTCAACAGTGGGACACAGTAGGTTAGCTAACCTGTGTTTACCACCCTCTGAGCAGAGTTTGTGTGGAGAACTGTGAGCCAGCCACTCAGACCTGTGCAGGCCAAGCTTATGAGCATAGCCTGACCCTGTGCACAAGTGCTGGGGTCGCGGGAAGCAGAGCAGTGCAGGGATCCCTGAGTGAGATGGAGGGAAGAGCCCTGGCAGGCCGCAGCCAGGGAGACCGCATTCTCCACCATTACTTCCCACTGTGGGGACCCTGCCTCGAAACAGGTACTTGAGTTTGGCAGAATCCTTGATAGACAAGCAATTTTCAGCTAGTGAAGCTCTTAGAGATTTGATCTGTGACAAAAGAACATTTCTGGTGCAGGCAGAGGCAGGGAAAAACACAGCATCGTGGTAGCACATCATAAAAATGAAGGGAATAATGGTCACACTGTTCAAATCACAGCAGTTCCTAAAATTCAAGTAAGCAGCCTTTCACCTGGAGTTAAACAAGGTGTTCAAACAGCTGTCTTGTCAGGACTTAGCAGGGGCCCCTGTTAGAGAAGAAGTATTAAGAGATTAAGAGTAGTCAGGGCAGTAGATCCTATAGCCATCTCTGCATATTCAGGTGTGGTTTGCCTGGGAGCAAAGACTGCCAGCCTTTGTGGGGTAAATCTTCAGCTCACAGTTATAGCCTACTTGTACAAAATAAGAAACAGCCACTGCTGTAACCTGTCACGGCAGTTAAAGCAGGTTTTGTAAAGCACACGCCTCCCTGTCGGCCCTCACCGCTGCTGCTAGTCATGGAGCTGGCACCCTGGCAAACGTATTCTAAGCTGGCTGTAGCCCGTTTGCCGAAATGGCATAAGACTCTGGAAATGGTATCGCATATTTGGATTATTTACTAGTAAATGAACTCTACAGCAAGGTGAAATGAGAATGTACTTTTTAATGTTTTTCAACTTTGTATTTTCTACCAAATTTTGCCGTTATTTCTTTAGCTCTCTGCTCCCTGCTTAAACAATAAGCAGTGCAGATCAGCCCACATTTTGGTTGTTATGTTTGGTTTGGATCTTTACATATTAGGTAGAAAATCATGCACAAGAACACATACAGGGGAAATGAAGGGTGTGGAAAATAGGTAAGAAGACGTGATTCAAGAGGAGATAGCCATGATAGGGCTTAATATACTATGAGAGATATCAGTGGTTACAACCGTGGTTTTTATTAGCATTACTTGGGGAACTTAAATAATACAGATGCCTGGGTCCTGTACTCTGAGAATTTCTGTTTTAATTGATCTGAGGCAGGGACAAATGTGTGTGCATGTGCGTGTGCGTGTGCGTGTGCGTCTCCCTTCCATAATCTCCCTAGATCATTCTGTATGTAGCCAGGAATGAAAACTGGTGGATTATATATTTTCTGTTTAGGTTTAGAAAGCAGAACTAGTAGCATTGAGGGGAAAGTACAAGATAGAAAGTTTCAACTCATTATAATGAAAAATGTTCTGGCAATTAGAATTTCTTCCTCCTAGGAATATTCAAGTATACATGAGTTAACCACTTTTGAAGGATGCTGTGAAGATGACTGCTTTGTATAACATGTAGGACTTAGTTGTTTCTTAATTTTATTTTTTTAAAAAGAGAGAGGGTGTTGCTCTGCTTCTCCAGATTTGGCATGGCATGTGCTAAGATTAGTTGGGCATATTGAGTTTGAGACATCTGTGGGACATCTAGGTGGAGATGTTAGTTGACTATATGGCTTTGGGACTCAAGAGCTCCTGACTGGAAGAACATCAATGAAAAGGTGGTAGTGGAAATTACCATCTCCATAGTGTTTTTCATTTATTTGACCCGTATCTTAAGAACTTACCATGTATTAACAGTGATGAACAAGACATGGTCTTCTGTGCTCATGGAGCTTATAGAATGGGAAGGAAAGTTAAAACTGAAGAATCTTCACAAAATTACCTGGCAACTAATTAAGTTGTCGTCACTGTCAGCTAGATGGCTGCAGTAGAGGCCACAATTGCAACTGGATTGGAAATTCCTCAAAAAAGTTCTTTATAATATATCTAAAACGAATGACAACATATACAAACATTGAGGTTGATGATAAAAAGAGAAATTCTGGTGGTGATTTCTCAGCCAGAAAATAAAAACATGGAGAAAGATTTCCAAGATCTCTTTCATTTTATTTATATTTTGTTTTTTTGGTCCTTTCTCTTCATCTCTTAAATTTTCCTACATTTTGTAACATCATTATTATCAGTTGTTGAATAGAGGTATTTCTTGATAAACAATTATTGCATAGTATCTGGTTTTTAAATTTGGTCATGCACTCTCAAGGACTTATTGAAAATATGATATTAATGTAACTCTAACAACCACAGGTATCGAGAGGCTATTCAGAAGTGGGATGAAGCACTACAGTTAACCCCCAATGATGCTAGCCTGTATGAGATGAAATCACAGGTAATGACCATGGAGAATTTCACTTTCATTATGAAATCGCACTATGTTTGTTTGGTGAGCAATGATGAACCAAAATAGCATTTTCTTTTTTAAGTACAATCTACATGGGAAACAAATAAGTGACCATATTATTTATGGCTCTTCCTTATGTGTCAAATTAGAAACTCATTTATCTTCACAATGAAGTTAACTGTTTTTTCAACCTAACTATGGTAAGATATGAGCAGATAGATACCTTTGCAAAAGTCACAGGTGATCTCCGAAATAAATGGTGTTTGCTTTCCTTGGAAATGAATTGTAGTGACTTAGAAATAACTCAGTTTCTTCAGAATGTGGGTGGATTGGATTCTAGATGATGGTATTTCTCTAAAAACAGCCTAGTCCTTAGGGAAAGGTCAGAATAGACTCAATTTATTAATAGTTTAAAGATGACATTTGTACTTAAAAATACATATCTAATATTTTGTGAGCAAGTTGATAAGGAAAACCTCTTAAATTAGTTATCCAAGAGATTTCAAATCACAGAGCTATGACACATATTTTTGGCAGGGAATAGTTGCGGTTCAACCTTGATCTACACACCTAACAGATGTCTTCCCGATGACAGTCTCAAACATAGGGCACATTCTTTATCAGCTTTGATTTTTAGTTTATCCAGGAAAAACCCAAATTATGTCTACTGAGTGAAGTGCTATGAGGACCTTCATTTGAATAAGTCTTTAATTTTCAATTTTGAATATGTATATATTAAAGGCAGGATTTGTGGTGAACTGTGTGAAATGAGTTGTTTAATTTGCAACCTGATAATGATGGTTGTATCACAAGTTTTGTGAAATGCATATGATCCCCAAGGATTATAGATAAAATCCAGCCCTTTCCCATAGATAAAAGGTGGAGGGTTGTGGAACTTGCTGCTTTTTCTGATTTGTGTGGTATGAAGAACCCAATTATGGGGAGGCCTATAGAGAGTTTCAGTGATTTTTATAGCAGGTAAATGTTCACGAGGGACAGGATGGGCGGTTGAGCAAATTTAAATTTACCTAGTTTAACAGCAAGGCCTGGGGCACCCTGAAAACTACATTGAAACCACATTGCAAGTAGAATAAATAGAAGTGGAATTGAGACTTCAAATAGCTCAGAGCCGCCGTGGCTGAATTATGACTGCGTGGTTTTGACTAGATGGATGATAGGGTTCAATAATTAGAGAGGGAATGGTTTATATTTTTATAGTTATTTCAGGAGTAGGAAGAAGAATATAATTCCTGGCCCTAAATGGCAGAGGAGGGGGTTAAAACCACTGAAATGCTATGTTTACCAGACTAAAAATACATTTTTAAAAATAAAAAGCGTTGTTTATGTATGGTTATCCATTAGTAGTTGACTAGTTTATGAATATCACTGACAGGTTTTGTTTCTTCTTTTTGGCTGTAGGTCCTAATGTCTCTTCATGAAATGTTCCCTGCCGTTCATGCAGCAGAAATGGCTGTCCAGAGAAATCCACATTCGTGGGAGTCTTGGCAAACTTTGGGACGTGCACAGCTGGGATTAGGAGAGATAGTCTTGGTAAGGAAGTCAGATGATTATAATGCTGAAATTTTATTTTGACATGTTTTTGATCAGCTGAACCTAGAAGTTAGTCATTTATCAAATACATATATATATATATATATATATATATATATGCAAAAAATGAACAGCAAATTACCTCTTAAAGGTATGAAACCATAAACACAGATCAGAGTTATTACTTAACATCTTTTTCCATTATCAACACCTATTATATCAGGGTCAGAATATTTTTTAGGTATTTAGAATCATGAAAATTAAAAAAAATTTAACACAAAATGTTGGCATTTGGTAAATCTTATTTAAGTATAAAATAAGCAACTTTTAGATTAGTTCTTTTATTTTATTAAAAAAAAATTTTTTTTAAGATTTTATTGGGGAATTGGAGAAGGGAACAGTGTTGGGGAATTGGGGAAGGGGAACATTGTGTTTTTCTAGGACCCATCAGCTCCAAGTCAAGTTGTTGTCCTTCAATCTTAGTTGTGAAAGATGCAAGCTCAGCTCCAGTCACCACTTTCGATCTAGGTGGGGTGTGGGGGGTGGGGCGCAGCCCACCATTCCATGTGGTATTCAAACCGGCAACTTTGTTGTTAAGGGCACACGCTCTCACTAGCTGAGCCATCTGACCACCCGTTGACAGCTCAGCTCGGGAGCAGCTAACTGGCCCATATGGGAATTGAACTGGCGACCCTGTTGCTCAGAGCTCGCGCTCTAACCAGCTGCGCCACCCGGCCGCCCTTTAGGTTAGTTTTTTTAAATTTAACCACATTATGACGTGGTATCAGTATCACCATAGAGATAAAATCACTAAAAAATTATGCTGGGGAAGGAAAAATGTAGCATATGTGAGCATAATGTTGATAAATATTTGGACTGAGAAGTTGCAAAGCTTAGTAAGGGGGAAAATGGGGAAGGGTAGAAGCTTATAAAAATGAAATACTCACTGTGTAAAGTTTACTCTAAACTGGTACTTAGTGTATTTCTCAACTTGTCTAGACTATACATTGTAGGTTGCAAAGGCCAAATAGGTGATAGTTAACTGTTAGAATTGTCCTGTTTTTATTTTGGCAGGGCTTATAGATAGATCCCTTACAACTAAATTCTTAAAAATGTAATAGTGCCAAATTTCCTTTTGGTCATTAAGTAAATTAAGATTTTTCATGCTTTTATTGGTCTTTTGTGGTTAAAATCAAAGCAAAACAATAAAAAACAAAAGTTTCTTTAAAGTCTAAAATTATTGGTAAACCCTGAATTTAACTGGACTAACAGTGGCTTTAGTAAGCTGTGGGTACCTTAGGTTTTTCTAATACTCTTGTAAACATATTATTATTATTTCTATTTACAAAAAAAGGTGTTTGTCAAATTCTCAGAAATAATAAGTAGGGAATTTTGATGAGATGAGAAAAGAATTGATTGGAGTAAAGTAACTTAAAAATGATAATCTGAAATGAAATTCACAGTGGTGGAAACCAGTTAAACCAAAGGCCATTTTTTCCCCTTGCCATTTAACAGTCATCTTTTCTCTCCTGAAGACTTAAATCTTATCAGCGTTTGGAAAAAGAAACTCAAGGAATTTGGTTTTCTAATAGGTTAACAGGATTACAAACAAAAACGTATCATGTAATAACTTTTTCCTATTTCTCCTTTATTAAAAACTAATCATTATCTCTTTGGCTTATAAGTGCTTATGGTAATGGGAAACAAATCTCTAGGATAAAATGTTTAGCAAAAATTATCCTATAAAGAAAGAAAATAGACTACAGGCAAGACAACAGAAATAACTTTGAATCAATCAATAAAAGTAAAACTAATATTTCAAGTTTTTAAAATAAGAGTACTAGTTCAACTGTTTTTTTCGATAAGGTTCTGTCCATTGTATTGTGAAATTCTTGGTGGAATTAAAAGTGTTATTTTGTCCTCATTTAATATTTTTATACTTCTCTACTTAAAAAAAATCTAAATTTGTAAATTTTATATAAAGTTAATCTGTTCTTTTGAAAGACTGGAATGATTAAAAAAGAACTTTACTCAATATCATAATGAAGGGATACTATGAAAAATATATTGAAAACAAGCTAAAATTTCTATCATCTAATAATTATGTACACACACACATACACACACACACACACACATACATATACACACATTGGGGGTGTCAAAAAATGTATACAAGTGGACACTTTGGTCAATATTGCTTAAGCATTAGTTCACCATAATCAGAAGTGTGTGAATGCTGATGGTAACCATTTTGAGCACCTCTTACAATTGCAGAAGTCAAATGTGACTTGTATTCATCTTTTGTTATCAGTAATATTGGGTTGTTGGAAAAGTCATGACGTATTTTTCTGTTTTTCATTGCAAAAATGCGTCATGACTTTTCCGACAACCCAATATATTGAGTATTACAATTTTAATAGTTTTTTTCCTTTCTTAAAATGTGTATACATTTTTTGGTACCCTCTATATATAAATAATGATTTCTTCAACTCACTGGTTATTTAATTATTTAATTTCCACGTATTTGTGAATTTTCCAGTTTTTCTTTTGCTATTGATTTCTAGTTTTACTCCATTGTAGTCAGAAAAGATGCTTGGTGTGTCTTCTTAAATTTGTTAAGACTTGTTTTGCGGCATAACATGTGATCTATCCTGGAAAATGTTCCATGTGTGCTTGAGAATAATGTATTATTCTGCTGCTATTGGGTGAAATGTTCTGTATAGGTCTGTTAGGTCCCTTTGCTCTATAGTCTTGTTCAAGTCTATTTCCTTATTGATCTGCTACAGCTGTCTATTTCTCCCTTCAGTTCTGTCAATGTTTACTTTATATACTTAGGTGTTCTGATGTTGGATGCATATATATTTATAATTGTCATTTCTTTCTGGGGAATTAACCCTTTTTTCATTACACTGTGTCTGCCTTTGTCTCCTGCGACACTCAATACATGTTAGTATTATTATGATCTAAGCTCTTGGCGTCAAAGGTATGCATTCCTGGTACCTTTCCTGATTGTGATTTAGCCTAAGAAATCCCTAGATTCATATATTTGCTGATCTGCAGAAACTGAACAATGTATTTGCGTTGTTTTGAACCACAATATCAGTACCTCCATTTTAATGGACTTTTAGTCCTCATCAGCAATTTATGTCAGTCACTTTCACATTTTTATAACCTTTCTTTTTTTTCCCACCATAACCATCATCTAGTGGTTAGGTTATAGTGCTAACTTCCATCCTTACATTCTATTATGTTAAAAAAATATATATATAGTGAATATATATATAGTGAATATATATAGTGAATATATAGTGAATTATGTTCAATACACTCATTTTTTAGAACAAAGCCAACGAAAAACCCTCACCTTTTCCCTCCCTAGGCAATTCGAAGCTTTCAGGTAGCCCTTCACATCTATCCAATGAACCCTGAAATATGGAAAGAAGACCTTTCTTGGGCAAGAACGCTCCAGGAGCAGCAGAAGGCAGCCCAGAGGATTAAAAAAAGCGAAGCACCAGCGGAAGTAACACATATCTCACCAAAGTCAATTCCTGACTATGACTTTGAAAGTGATGAGATTGTTGCTGTTTGTGCAGCTATTGCTGAAAAACAGAAGACAGTTTCAGCAAATAAAACAATGGTTATTGTGTCAGCTTCTGGAACTGTAGAGACTGTAACTGAGAAGGAAGATGGTGCTGCACCACCAGATGGCTCTGTTTTTATCAAAGCCCGATGAAGCATTACAGGAATTATCTGAATCTGTCTTTTTTGATTGCCACTTAAAGGTTTAGGCGTAGGGGGCATTTACTCTTGAGAAACAGGGCAAAACTCCTGTTTGTAAAATAAGTTTTTCAGATGAGACATATAAAAACTAAATGGTAGAATTATTATATAGTGTTTGGACTATGCTTCGATAAGTTATGATTTAAACTTCTTAAGATTAGAATTCTGAGTACAATGATTTTTGATTAATAAACTTAATCCAGATATATAAATGAATACATTTTAAAGACACAACTTGAAAAGTGAATAACTTGATGGCCAATGTTATTAAAGTGTTGATTGTTGACTTCTGTTTTATGATAAAGGAGGTAGGTGATTTCTTTCCCTCCTAAAAATATACTGCTGTTACTATTCACTCTTCTATTTTTCTTGTTTCATTAGAGTAAATCTGTCACAAAGCTTGAATATTTTTGACATTCATTGTGATTCAAAGTTGTCATTTGGTTGTATGTAGATTCTTTGAAAGTTGGGCTGGAAATGCATGCAAATGTGTACATTCTGAATATTTCCTGTAGTTTCTCTTAATTTTGATTTGTGCTTATGTTTGACTTTAAAATTATTATAACCATGGTAGTTGTTGCCCTCAGTATTTATTGGATGTGTGTGAAATGCTAACAAGTATAAGAATGATGGTTTTAATTTTTAATTGTTAAAGTAGATAGTCCTTACCACAAGTGAGTCACTTTTAAGATGTGCTTTTTAAAAAAATGAATGGCTCTTATAGCTACATCATAAATTGTACTGCAGTGTTGTCCCAGTCAAAAGCAGTATTTTTCTTTATTTTTAAAAGCTTAGAAACCTTGAAAATAACTTACCTTTTACTTCTAACTTTCCAGCTGATGGTTTGGAAGTTCTTTTCTAGATAACTTGTTTGGAACTACTCAGTGAAATGAGACATAATCACAATTTTAAATAGCTAAATTATATCTTTCTAAAAATAAAAGTAGGGATGTTATTATTAGAGTGCCAGTGAGTGAATAACTTAGGCACAATATACATGAAAACTGAAATGTGATTTATAGTATGATCCCATGAGTAGAGAAGGATATATTGAAGAAATAGTTCTTTGAAACACTATAATTACATCCACAAATCAATACTGTCATTGCAAATGTGAATTATTATTTTTATACTGCATATATTGTAGTATAATATGGAACTACTGGGTACTGTTACTTCTGATACTCAGGAAGCTATTATTGGTATAAAATTAATTTTATCCTTTAGTAAGTTACTTTATTTTAAGGAATCTTATCCTCTTGGAGCATACAAATAATGGTCTACATTTTTCTGAGATGATTTTTAAAATATTTCTTTTAGTGGAATGTTTACCTCTTTTTTTCAGAGTCAGAGAAGTCAGCACTTGCCTTGAAAAGTATTATATTTCCCCCCAAAGTTATGTTAGAAAGTCAGATCTGGTTAGAGAGGTTAGTTTTAGAATGATCCAAAAAACCAAATATTAATTATATTTTATTTTAATAAGAAATCATCTCAAAGGGGAGATAGTTGGGTATCTAGAGAAGTGAGCACTTATCATTTGGTGTGTTGTTTTGAGTAGTGGGTATTTGTTTATTGTGTAAGTTGTGAATAGTTTGCTGTATTAAAGATTTGCTTGTTTTGTATTGTTAGCTTTTAAAAAATTAGATTGATTCATTAATGTTTTTCTTATGTGAAAATAAAATATGTAAAGCACCTTGTATGGTGTCTCACATATGAAGTACTCAGTAAATGCTCACTTTTTCTATGAAGAACTTGAATTAGTGTGGAGATATTTAACCACAATTTCTTCTGACTGTAAGAAAGGAGAACTTTCTTTGTAACCTTTTCCTTATCTGAAAGTCAGAAGTCATTGCTTCTGATATTATAGGACAGATGGTTTATCAGTTGGGGATTCTTCTTGGTATAAGGTCTGTGCCTCAACCCCAAAGAGGTAGGACCCAGGATGGGTAGCCACTAGGTTCTGTTTAAGAATCCAGCGTTTCCTCTTGTTGACATTGGTAGGCCAGGTTCTTCTCTTCCTTATCACACGTATGACCTAAGATGGTTTACACATAAGATGGAGGAGAAGAAGAAATGGTGAGTTATGGAGAAGGAAGGCAGCTCATTTCTCTAGGCTGCGCAGAATGCTTAGCTAACACTCTTCTGTGCATGAAGAGAAAAAGATGTACATTATTTTGTAAGGATGTGAACAGTGATATACTGACATTCACTAAGCTTGTTAACGGTAATAAATTCTTTTGAATCTGAAAGCAAAATAATTGATGTTTGTGACAATAATATGATTAAAGATGTTTAATATACTTTATGAAACAATACTAAACACCAAAAGTATACTGTATAAATTTGTATTTTTCTTGTTTCAAAATTGTGTAGCATAGACACTCATTAGCCAGAACACTACACATGCAGACCATGCCTGATAATTTAAGAATCATATATTATTCTCTAGATAACAGGTTCTTAGATTATAGAGTATTTATCTTAAATGTGCTAACAAATACTACATAAACATGAAAAGTCATGCATGGTATAGATAACAGAACTTAAATCTACTGCAATTGGGGCCTTTGTACAAAATTTTATGATAGTAGCTTAAATATGAAAACCTTTTAAGTTGATGTTACATGGCAAATCTATAACGAAGACTTCAGTAAAAAGCTTTGTCACGAAAGGTGGAGTTTCCATGATTATAACTGATCAATATAGCCTTTTTAGTTTGAAAATTATGCTTTATGTAATGACGTCAAAAGCTTGTTTCATTGCCCTCCCCAGCAGTAGGAAATTGTCAATCATTTCTTTAATTTCAGGCTTCGTGAGTCAGTGCTTCTAAATTGACTCTGGACTTTGATTTCATGGCATAATATATCTAAATGACTTGTGAAGTTGACACAGGAGCCGTAGTTTCATAATTATCTTCAAATCAATGGTGACATTAAATGTGGTTTTTTTGAGAGATTTCTATTAAACTGATGGTATATTTTGTAATTGATGGCATTTTAGGATTGAGAAAGTAATGTTTTTGTTTTTTTTAACCAGTAATAAAATACAGAAATTTGTAAATGGTTTACTCATTACCAAAATGAATTGAAATATGTCACTTTTGTCATTTGCAATTAAATTATGTCCACTTGAATGGAAGAGAAGGAGTGGCCCCATAGCTAGTGTACCATGAATTGTGCCTTAATGTGTGCTGTGTGTGAACTTCACCTGTTTTATGTGCCAAGGTGGAAAAAGGGTTGAGAAATGTTGACCTATACTTTGTTGGGAAGGCCGAGGGTGGAGATGGCTTCCTTTCGTAGTGCTTGTTTGCACATGCATTAACCAAGGAACCCTAACCTCTCCTTTTCTTCCCCCCTCCCCCGCTCCTCAGGAGAAGGAATTGAGGATAGATAACTGGACATAAAAGCTCTTTTTCCCCTTCTTTTGGATTTGTCATACCTGCAGAGAGCCTATGAAGGCCCTACCTCTGCAAGGGAAGACCCGTGGTTGTGCAGGACTGCCCATGCCTGGTGAGCAGGTCGAATTCTTGGTTTGATATTAGGTGGCCATGTTTGGCACAAAGCTGTATTACATCCTCTAACCTAGACTTCTTCGGCAATAAATCTGATGTATGGAATTCCTATCTGCCTACTCTTTGTCTCAAGTGGCTCAGAAGTCGGGACAAGGGGTATTGTAATGACGCCCTCTAACCCTAATAGAGATTAGTGCAGGTTATACTTCAAAGTAAGCATGAGACAAAAACCAAATTGGGAAATTGTTTTTATAAGTTTAGATTTTTTTTAAACCGTGGAAATTTGTTCCAGATATTTAAAAGGCATACTGACGTAGGAATGTGAGAGACCACAGTATTGACTTGTAGATTTAATTGGAAGGAAAGAATATGAATTGAACCATGATAGCCTCCGTCCACCCTGTTAACTTTCTTAAAGTATAATTTACATATAATAAATGCATCCGTTATAAGCTCTTAGTTTGAGGAGTTTAGACAAATGTAAACAGCTATTCAATCACCATTACCATCAAGAGGTAGAATATTTCCACCACCCAAAAAAGTTCTCTAATGCTCATTTGCACTCCAACAAGCAGTGCTGTTAGATTACTGATCTGCTTTCTGTGTCTATAAATTATATTTGACTTTACTGGAATTTCAAATAAAGAGATCATATGATACCTACTGTGTGTCTGACGTTTGTTGCTCAGCATACTACTTTTGAAACCCATCCTTGTTGAGAGATTCTTCCAGTTATTGTGCATATCAGTAATATGTTCATTTTTATTGCTAAGCATGATTCTGTTGTATGGATTTACCACAACTTGTAGCTTTTCATATCTGTTGGACATCTAGGTTGTTGATGAATATCTTAACATTTGGTCTATTATGAATAAAGCCGTTATGTATAATATATATGTCACAAGCCTGTGTGTGGATGTTATGTTTTCATTTCTCTTGGGTAAATTGCTGAGTCTTATGGTAAGTAAATATCTGTGTAACTTTAGTTGGAGATGGTGAAACTTTTCTAAAGTATTTGTACCATTTGCATTCCTACCAGCAATATGTTAAAATATCAGTGGCTTCATATCCTTGTCAGTGCTTGGTAGTGTCATTGCTTTTAATTTGAGCCAGTTCAGTGGCTGTGGAGTGGTATTGCATTGTGGTTTTAATATGCATGTCTCCGACGGTGTTTAGCATCTTTCATATACTTGTTTGATATTTGTGTATCTTTGTTTAGGATGTGCCTGTTCAAATATTTTGCCCATTTTTTGTTTCGGTTATCTTATTAAGCTGTAAGAATTTTTTCTGTATTCTAGATAAAAATCCTTTACATGTGTTGTGACTATTTTGTCCCTACCTGTGGCTTGCCTTTTTGTTTTGTTTTCTTTCTTTTTTAAAAAAAATATGTATGTATGCACGTATCTATTTAGTTAGACATTCAATATTATATTAATTTCAGGTGTACAGCATAGTGGTTAGACATTTATATAATTTAAGAAGTGGTCCCCCTGACTAGTACTCACCTGGCACTATACATAGTTATTACCATATTATTGACTATATTCCCTATACTTTACATCCCCATGACTATTTTGTAACTACAAATTTGTACTTCTTAATTCCTTCACCTTTTTCATCCTGTCCCCAACCTCCCTCACAACTGTCACCCCAATAAATCTTATACCCATCTGACACCATACATAGTTATTGCAATATTATTGACTATATTCCTTATACTATACCCCACATCCCCAGGACTACTGTGTAACAACCAACTTGTACTTATTTTTTTTTTATTGGGGAATTGGGGGGATGGGAACAGACAAGTTGCTGTCGTTTTGTTCTTCAGTCTAGTTGTGGAGAACATTGCTTCACTGGCCCAAGTTGGCACCATCATTGCGCTCTTCCTGGGCGAGGCAGATCAGTCGCCGGCTTCTGGACGGCCGCTCACTGCAGC